AAGAGGAAGTGGCAAGGGGATTAAAAATGGATTCATTCCTCCACAAAAGCCAACAAACACATCTAGAATTCCCTACCTCTTCACCCTTAAGCCAAGAGTGTCCTCCCCACAGCCTCCCCATTTTGTTAAGAGCTCCTCTGGAGACTACGCTCATTGCCAGAGAGCAGAGTGTAGGTGGACCTCATTGTCTCAGGGCTCAGAAAACTTGGAGGTTTGGAAAATAGGTTAGATCAATATTTATTTATAAAAGTATAAATATTATATATCAACCCCACAGAGGTTGAAAAATAAAACTCATCCATACAGATTTTTAAATATAAGTGAAATTGCTCAGTTAACTCTTATAGCTATACCTTGAAATTCATAGTATTTTTCCATTCCAATGCATGTCTATGTATGTGTACCTCGGGGAGTGCTAGAGCCTTTTCAGGGTGCTTTGCCATTTGCCCTAGCACTCAAACTCCTCTCCCAGTCACCCTGGAATTATCTTTTCCTAAGACGATAATCTTAGAGGCAGCAGGCAGGTGACTTGAATTCCCATAAACTTTTCTTGTCCTTTGACTGGGGAGGGAGCACCACTCTTTTGCCATCACAAAATATTCCCAACAGGAAGAGTTCAAAGTTTATAAATGTTTGTGAGGCATTGTGTGGTGGTGGGGGGGTGGTGTGGGGATGCCAACTCTGGATACTATCTCCTTTGCATTTGGACCTTGGTAGACTTTGTTAAAGACTGCCTGAGGGGACAGGAGAATGGTGATGGACCTCTTGCTTTAAATGATTAAAACATGGGGGGAAGAGAGGAAGAAGGAAAGGCTTTGTAATATCTGGCTGAATATTTTCAGTGTCCAGAGCAAAAATGAGTGCTCTTCCCTCCAGGTGTCCCCACACATGGAAGTCAAAGCTGACTTGGTATCACCAAGTAATGAATGACCAGTGCTGGCCCACCTCTCCCCTTCTCCCCCGCATGACAGAGGCTGGCCCCACAGTCTTCAGTGATGGGTCATGTATGTGCCATAGAAGGGGGATGGGAGGAAGTGAGCAAGGGAAAGGCAGAAACACCATGATTCACCCCCACCCTGTCTGACCACAGAACCCTCATTCCAGCTGTGCTGGCCTTGGTCCAACTCTCAGGTGTTCGGGGGGGGGCTGACAGGGAGATGGAGGAAGGAGAGAGCCACAGAGGAGGTGAGACTGCTCTGAAACTTTCTGAGAGGAAGACAAAGAGTCAGTGTCATCGAAAAAGGGGATTTCAAGCGGCAGAGGCCGGTGAGAGGTGTCAGGGAACCTCAAACTGGGTAAGAACTGAAGACAGGTGCTTGGTTTGGGGTTTAGGAGATTCACGCTGACCCTTGAGAGATCAATGTCGGATGAGTGCCATGTACTCTTTCATTTAAAACCCCATTACTCGTTTCCTCTTATGTTTTAGGGTATTTTAATTTCTTACCTCCTGGAATGCAAAAATCGGGCTGCTTTTGTTTTTTTCACACTCAGAAATATTGCTCTCAGGTGCAATGCTGTAGTTGCCTGTTTCTTCCCATATTCTCCTGTACACATACTGTGTTGTCAGGGGGGTGATCAAAGTCAGGGCAAAGGCACTGAGGCAAATGGCCGGCTCTACAAGGAAAATCTTCATATTGGCTAGGCCAGTGGCTGACTTCTATAACAAAGAAAAAGGAGAGAGACAATGAATGAGGTGCATTTTTCTCTGAAAGGCTAGATTGTCACTGATGGGAAAGTTAGAGGAATTTTGTTGCCTAAACAAGCAAACTAGGGGGCGGGACACAAAGCATTAAGCACTTTCAAAGGGTAACTTTAACTCTGGAATAGGGTGCCTGGTAAACCTGAGACGGTCATACTTGTCATTTTAAGGAGCAGAACGTTGCAGGGCTCATACGGTCTTTAAGACAATTCTTTAATAAGTTGTCACCATTTTGGTGACTCAGTGACCACACCGCGTTCCCGCCTGGTACACGCCGGCGGGTTTTCATGAGGAAAACAGTGAGACTGCTCCCGGACCAGACAGTTGCGCCACTATTTGTTATTGTCATCTGGCGGCTTGTTGACAGCGGGCTGGAAGGGACACTTAAAAACAGCTCCCACACGCAAGGGGAGTTTTTACTTTATTTTTTGACTCACCCCGCCGTTAGTCTTCTCGCCAGGTTAAGGGCCAGCGGTCCGGGAACGGTCTCCCCTCGGGATATGCACTCGGCCCGCCTCCCGCTCAGCGGCGCCCGGAGGCGGGGCCCCAGGATGCGAAGGGCAATCGCCGTGGAATTCGACCCGGCGCACCTGCGGGGACGGCAGCCCTCACTTGCAAGCAAAGCACCGGAAGCGCATTTCCGCGTCCACAGTGACC